AGCAGAGTATTGCAACACACTCGTCAATTCCATTTGTTCAGCGACTAAGGGGCCCACCTATGAATGCCTTAAGAACAGTTTGGTTAGCAAAGGGAAAGTTAATTGACTGGGTTTCTTCAATCACAATCCAGCCAATCCCCCCAACATCTCCCATTTTTTTCCCTCTTAATTAAATTATACATGCATAAAGGGAATACGAAATCCCTCGAATTTGTTTGTATATCTGAATTCTGATCGATTTTTTATTCTTTCGATTTCTTATCGAATTCTTGTTCGAGGGGAAGAGCAAGATGTGGGTGTTTTATTTGATCTCGCTGCCATTAACCCTAGGCATGGTGCTCTTGACTTTGAAATACTTCTCCGGCCCGGACGTGCCGCGTTACGTATTGTTCACGGTGGGGTACACTTGGTTCTGCTCGATTTCGATCATCATTCTTGTTCCCGCCGACATTTGGACGGTGAGTTGTTGGGAAGTTAAATTTCTCTCGATTCTTGATTATTTTTGCTGCTGAATTGTTAGAGTTCTAAATTGGTTGATTTGGGTTTGCGGTCATCTTTGAGTATTTTAATAAGCTTCTGGGCCTTATGTTTTCTTGATCTTGTTTTGAATTAATGTGATCTGCTTTTGTCAGCTTCATTCACTCGCAGTGAACATGAGTCGGATCCATGTTTTGAACTCCTTTTGCTTCAGAGTTTTTATGCACATTGCCTTTGGCCGGTGTGTATATACTTTGGCTTAGCTGTTAAGCTGCTAGTTGAACTTAAAAGAAAACAAAAGGCTGGGTTTTTTCGAGATTGAGCTGTTGTTTCATTTGTTTTATAAGTGTGTCATTCCTTTTATAATTGCAGTGATGACTAGTAGTTTGGGGTGGATTTGTTACGCTTAAGCTTTTAACCTTTAGGAGATAACTAAGAATGTGGTAAACTGGAAGAATTTTTCTGACCTCCAATTTTATTTTAATATGATTTTAGAATTGTATAAATCATTTTAGTTTAAGGCTGCTGAATAGAGGATAGAGATGCTATTATTGTGTGGTCTTTCTTTCCAATCAGAAGTGAGTGTTTATGTTGTGGTCTTGAAACCCATGATGTATACTATACTAGAGCTTGAATGGATATCCTAGCAAGTGATTAAAAAGGCATGAGGTGTCCCGAGGCAACTAGTATGTCACTTGGCGAGCTATTATGCGAAAATATGGATTTATGGACAATGAATAAATTACATATAATATAGGTGAAAACAAAAGATAAGTCCCAAACAAGATTATTTCACACAAAAATAACCTCATTTTTTTTTTTTTTTTTTTCTATATTACCTAGTTTTGAGCTATTTTTGACCCAGCCACTCACCATAGTATATAACTTTATGTACAAAAAATGGGGGCAAAGTCACTCACACACACAGAGAATATTATTAGAAAAAGGAAGACAAATTGTATTCAGTTAGTATTATGTGAGGACTTGGTTATGCGTAAAATTCGTCTTGTAACTTTATATGTTGCTCTTCTATGTATTGACGTCAGTAATTGAGAATCTTTGTTGAGAAGTTTTTAAACTTATTATCACCAGCTGCGGATTTTACTTCAAGTAAATTTTGTCATACCATATATGAGCTTCAGAGCAGTACTATCTACTTTCATAAAATCTTAAACATTCTGCCTGTAACTATGCCATAAGATGGTTTAATATACTAGTATCTTGTGAAGTTTGAGCATGTTCATTATTAATTATTATCATGAAAACTTCTATTTTTTTATCCACGTTTTAGCCAAGATTGAGCATGTTTGCGTGTGTAGGTTGCACTGCTCTTCTGTTTCACCATGACTTATCAACATATCATCACAGCTGTTGCTGTCGAATCATATCAGTCAAATCATACAAGTTATTTTATTTGATTCGCTAGAAGTTATTTAAAGGATCTTTATCTCTTCTTCTTTGTCCTGCAGACTATAGTTGGTCACGGTAATGGAGGAATCTCTTTCTTTTGGAGTTGGTCATACTGGAGCACCTTTCTGCTCACATGGTATGACCTTTTGCAGTTTCATGAAGAACATGTTACTAATTTTGTTGTATTACTAATATTTTAAGTGCCATTAATTGCTTTTGTAGTCATGAATGTAAATCAAACTTGTTAAGCGTTGCGGGCAAGTAAAAAATTATACAGTTGTAATTTCTTCAAGTTATTTATGGATATATTGTTAGCTTGTGCCCCATTAGGTGGACATGTTCTGTTGGAAATATCATTAACTTAATGTTTTCTCCCTGCAGGCTTGCTGCGCCCCTCATTCAGGGTTATGAAGACGCTGGGGATTTTACTATGATAGATAGATTGAAGACTAGCATTCATGTAAACTTAGTCTTCTATTTAATTGTGGGGTCCATTGGTCTTTTTGGACTTATTCTCATCATTACTACGCACAAAAATTGGTGCGTGTCTTCAACCTTTTTACAATTTCTTTTCATTCTATGTTTAATATCTTCATTATCTTTGTTGTCTGATTATTCTCAACATACTTTTGATCTATTCTACATTCTCAAAATTGGTTGTGGACTTCCTGAATTTGCTTGATCAATATTATCTGTATATTTGGTATATTCTGTTGCTATCGTGGCCCAAATATTTTACGTTGACTATCTTTGATATGGGTCCATATCATGAAAATGTGTTATGTGGTTTACAAAATTTGCGATTTATGCCTGAGCTCAAAACCCTTTCTTGTCGTGGATGGAAACCACCATCTAAATCTAATGTGCGATTGGATAGAGCAGGTGGCTACTCTTTAGCTATCTATATGTCTATGGGTGTTGTATGCGGTATAAGACAGCATGATCAAAGCTTAAGGGCCTGAATGGATATAAGTTACTTTGAATTTGATTGAATTTATTGAATAAAGTGAGTTAGTTTTGAAAAAAGTTGATTGAAGTTGATTTGAGTGGGGTTTTGAGTTTGTATTTAAATAATACTTAAAATATAATGATTAAAATTGATGTGATGTAAAAGTTGGAGATAGTGATTGGAAGTGATGTGCAGTTAAAATTATGTGAGTGGATGAATAGTGAATTAAAGTTGATGTATTGTGTGAGTATGATTGATTAATATTATTTAATTATATTGATAATATTGAGGAGAGTTAGGTTGAAATAAATTTGAGTTCAAAATATTATTTGGTTAGTCATAGCTGGATGTCTTATACCCAATCAGGCCCCAAGTGTAAAAGACTCAGGAGATTACTTTTTGATACATTCAACAACAACAACATAGCCTTTTAGTCCCAAACAAGTTGGGGTGGGCTAGAGATGAAACCCAAGAGAACCAATGGTAAGAGAAACACAAAAAGAGCTTAAAACAAAAAGAAGAGATTGGAGCAAAAGAGAAAGGAGCAAAAGTCACGGTTCTGGCACGTTGATTGCTAGCCTCCAAGCGCTCCTATCCACCGCTAAATCCTTGGAGATACTCACATCTTTAAGGTCTCTCTTAACCGACTCTTCCCAAGTGAGTTTAGGCCGACCTTTACCTCTCTTTACATCATCGACCCGCTGTAGAACTCCCCTACGCACCAGTGCATCAGGAGGCCTACGTTGGACATGTCCGAACCACTCAGCCGATGTTGGAACCCATTTCTCCTCAATTGGAGCCACCCCGACCCAATCTCGAATATCCTCATTCCGGATTCTATCCCTTCTTGTGTGCCCGCAAAACCAACGCAACATACGCATTTCTGCTACACTTAGATGTTGGACATGTTGCCTTTTTGTAGTTCAACATTCAGCACCGTATAGCATCGTCGGGCGAATTGCCGTCCTATAGAACTTACCTATTAGACTTTGTGGCACCCTCTTATCACAGAGAATGCCCGAAGCTTGACGCAATTTCAACCAACCGGTTGCAATTCTATGCCTAACATCTACATCAATGCCGCCATCCTTTTGTAGACACACGTCATCGCATCTTTGTACATATCCTTGATGAGGGTAATGTACTTAGATGGAACTTTGTGCTTTTCTAAGGTCCACCACATGACATTCCTCGGTACTCTGTCATAAGCCTTCTCAAGGTCGATAAAGACCATGTGCAAGTCCTTCTTTTGGTCCCTATATCTCTCCATCAATTGTCGTATTAGGAAAATCGCCTCCATGGTCGACCTTCCAGGCATAAACCCAAATTGGTTTTGGGTCACACTCGTCACTCGTCGTAGGCGATGCTCGATAACCCTCTCCCAGAGCTTCATCGTATGGCTCATCAACTTAATCCCACGGTAGTTACCACAATTTTGAACATCTCCCTTGCTCTTGAAGATCGGCACTAAAATACTTCTCCTCCAATCCTCAGGCATGTTGTTTGACCGGAAAATGAGGTTAAAAAGTTTAGTTAGCCATACTAACGCTCTGGCGCCCAAGCATCTCCACACCTCAATAGGGATACCATCAGGGCCCATTGCTTTACCTCCCTTCATCCTCTTCATAGCCTCTCCGATCTCTGCCTCTCGAATTCTCCTCACCAAGCGTTAAAAAGCTTAGTTAGCCATACTAACGCTCTGGCGCCAAAGCATCTCCACACCTCAATAAGGATACCATCAAGGCCCATTGCTTTACCTCCCTTCATCCTCTTCATAGTCTCTCCGATCTCTGCCTCCCGAATTCTCCTCACCAAGCGTCTATTGGTATCCTCAAATGAGTCATCCAACTCCAGGTAGGACCCTCACTCTCCCCATTAAACAATTTGTCGAAGTACTCTCGCCATCTGTCCTTGATCTCCCCATCCTTCACCAGTGGCCGATCCTACCCATCCTTGATGCATTTGATTTGGTTGATGTCCCTTGTCTTCCTCTCCCGAATTCTAGCCATCCTATAAATGTCCTTCTCCCCTTCCTTCGTGCTAGGCGTCGATAAAGGTCATCATAGGCCTGACTCTTCGCTACACTCACGGCACGCTTTGCAGCCCTTGCTATTTTATAGTTCTCAGTGTTGGTTACACTCTTGTCAAGGTATTTAAAAGAATAAAAAAAATGGAAAAATTGGATCTATGTTCAACGAATCACACCTAGTAGGCTTTGCTTCGGCCTGTCATCACATATGAAATAACGGACGGTGTAACTTTAGCAAGGCTTTTCCCCCCTGACAAATTAAGCTTGTCAATGTTGGTTGCACTCTTATCAAGGTCATCATGATAAAATATTGGTAAGTTATGTGAAATAGAACACGAAAGTCGTTAGCTAACATAGCTTGCAGACTTATGATTCATAAAACAAATTCACTGAAACATGAATTGAGCTAAATTAATAAATTAAATTGTAAGTAAAATGATATAATCTATTTCAAGACCGAATTCATGATATTTTATTGACCATTTTTACTAGTGTTAGGTATGCCTAAAGTGTTGAAACTTGAAATGAGTTTTGTAGAATTTTTTCATCAAACTGTTAGATACACATTAATTTGGTAGTTGAAAACTTTGGTGTCGAGCTGTTAATACGTGGTATTAACAGTTTCTTTATTCGTTTGCATTCTTTCCAACAGTGTACTACCTTTACTGAAAAACCAAAAATGTCTTTATTAGTTTTTCCCAAGGACATGACCATTGAGCTCAGGAGTCTCATTATGATATTAGGCAACTGGTTTACAGTGTGTTTATGCGACTAAATTCTATTTCTTGGTAACTGGCCAGTTTGGGATTGCTACTGTACTTAGCATGATGCTGAGAAAGCATAGCTTCACTGATATCCTGAACATGACTTGTTGGTGACTTGGTATCTATTTAAATATTTCTGTTCACTGGCAGGATTGGGAGTAGAGGCATATTGGGGTGGGCAATGGCTTGCTCAAATACATTTGGACTTGTGACTGGTGCATTTCTTCTTGGTTTTGGTTTGAGTGAGATCCCTAAAGGTATTTGGAGAAATGCTGACTGGACAATTCGACATAAAGTTCTTTCCCACAAGATAGCCAAAGTGGCTTTGAAACTTGATGATGCTCACAAAGAATTGTCAAATGCCATTGTGGTTAGTTTCTCTCAGAATTGTGGTGTTTTTGTTTTAGAACGAAACAAATATCTGATTAATATTATTCCAAAGTTTTTAGTCAACCATGAAGTTATCTGAAAGCTTAATTCTATGCCATCATTATAGATTTTTTTGGTTTTTTTATTGTTAAAGTTTCTTTTGTTACTTCCGAAGCATTCTGGCCAACATACAGTATAGACAGTCATGTACCATAAAATCCTTCTGAGCATCCAACAAACTATCCCGATCAACGTAACGTGGTCGAACATGACCAAGAAATCACCCAGTCAAAGTCAAGCTCATTAAGAATCCTGGTGAATAGCTGTCTCACAAGTGAACAACGCAAAACAATTAGTTTAGGAAGAACTGCATTTAACTCGATCTGATATCTCATGCGGACATAATGTTCAGGGACAGTTGGCTCTCAACTTATATGCACTCAATGTATGTTAGTACTTGACATTTGTAGAATTGCTGCAATATCCAAGTTGTATTATTGTTCTTCATTTGAGTACGTGAATAAAAAGCTCGAAATACTCAGCTAATTTGCTAATCCAACAAACTTGCACAACATCAAATTCATGGATCAAATATAATTATTGCTGTCTCTCAAAACGCACCTCGATAGTAGCAAAATATCTTGCTTGGAAAATATGTCAATTGGGTGAATATTTTGTTTTATCTTTGAATTATCTTTATTTCTAATCCCTCATGTTTTGTTAAATTGGGATTAAAAGGTTGCCCAAGCTACATCAAAACAGATGACCAAACGAGATCCACTAAGGCCACACATGGATGTCATTGACAACATGTTAGTGCAAATGGTACTTCTTTCTTGTACAGTTTCACATGATGTAGTTTTATTTTATTATGTTATGGGAAATTTTACTTTGATTTTCTATCTCCAGTTGAAAGAAGATCCTTCCTTCAAGCCACAAGGGGGGCGGTTGGGAGAAAATGACATGGACTATGATACAGATGAGAAATCGATGGCAACACTAAGGCGTCACCTTCGGGGAGCTCGTGAGGAGTATTATCGATGCAAAAGGTACTGCTATTATTTGCAAGTTGATATATAATTTAGTTCGACATTTGTCAGCTAATGCTTTATGCTCCAATTTGTTTCACCCTGTCTTCTCCCTTTTGCAACTTTTTTTCTGGTCATACTGTTATTGTAATTTTTTCTAGCACTGTCGAGTTTTTTTTATAATGACAGCTAGTTTAATTGTTTTTTACATTATTTCAAAATAGAAGCTTTCATGTAACTCTTTTGAGTTTTAGTTAAGTTAATGAAAGGTGGGATTGTTGTGTCTCTGTAACCTAGAACATAGAAAACACAATAACCAATTTTGGAAATGAAACCTTTATTCGAGGATGTCCTGTCAGAAATATGAGTGATACTTCTGGGCCCGATAGCATTTATGATGATGATCTGTCTCGACATACTTTACATGGCTTTGGTTTCCCCATATTGATACCTCCTGGATAATTTTGATGCCTAAAGTGACTGTCTTCTGTCTTAGTGTTAAAATGCGTAGTGTTTAAAAGTAACTTACTAACATGTTCTAGATCCTTTATGTTGGTTGTTTTGCAGCGAGTACCTGATTTATGTCAAAGAGGCTCTTGAATTAGAAGACACAATAAAGAATTATGAAAGACGCAGTATGACTGGATGGTGTGCACAGCCCCTTACTCTTTATAATGACAACACGAGTTTCTTCTTCAACTAGTTTCTCATTTGAACAATTATGTCACATCATTAACATTTTTTTGTCTTCCTCAACATGATTTTTAAAAAAAAGCATTCCCCGAACAACTATGTTTCTGTAATAGCATGAACTGTATACTTAAGGACACACTATAACCATAATTCAAACCATTGCCTGGTAACATACAACCTGATTGTTGTCACAGTTCTACATGAACACTCCGTTGGGACAGAACATATATTGTTCCAGTATAATAGCTAATCTAATTTAAAAATATTTGAATGGTTTTCAATCTCTGTTTCTACAATGAGAAAAACACTAGAGCTGGACAATATTTTTTAAGGTAGCAGTAATTTTACCCGTGCTAATTTTTATTTCTTATTGTAGCCCAAGGTTGACTTTGTGTAGTTCCTAATTTTGCAATAAAGTAATGTTCTAGGTTTTATTTACTTCTTGTATATATTCACGTATATATTCACTTTTGGACTGTTATATTGTAATGCAGGAGGTTTATCTCAAGCTTCCGACCTGAACGCACTGGTAAATTTGGGCAGTTCCTTGACATGGCAGGTAATAGTTTGTCACTCATCACATCCATTCGAGTCAGAATATTGATAAACCTACTCCAAATTTCCATTTTTTCCAAATTGGAGCAAAATTTAATAAATAACCGGAGCCTGTGTTGTTCATGACGTGCAAATTTGAACTTTTAATTGATGTGCATATTCTGCTTTAGAGAAAAGTAATGTCTGAGATGTATTGCTTCTTGTATGGACCAACTGGTACTTCATTAGGTAAAACTATTTAGCTTAAACCTACTCATCAGACATTTTATTTATTCTAATTCATCAATTTGTTTGATTGCATTTACTCTTTGTTGTGGGAAATGTTGCATCTCTTCATATTTTTTGTTCTCCATTTCCCCAGCTTATGATAAATCTAAGCATATGTTCCTCGGAAATTTGATCATACTTTTTTTTTTCTCCCAGAATTAGTATGGCGTTGTATCTTGCAAAAGCAATTGGAAAAAATCTTGGCTGTCATTCTTGGTTGCATGTCAGTTGCAATTCTCCTGGCTGAGGCTACTTTGCTGACCAATGGGGTTGATTTATCTTTATTTTCTATCCTCATAAAATCTGTAGGACCTGAAGAGGTTCTGGTGCAGGTATGAACTCAGACTATAAATGCTTATATTATATTATTAGTTAATATTATATAAACATTGTTCCTATATATAGATTATAGACATATCTTTGGGTATTAACATTATTTGCTTATGGTATCCAGGTCATTGCATTTGTTCCTCTGATGTTCATGTGTGTTTGCACATATTACTCACTCTTCAAAGTTGGAAGGATGATGTTTTATTCATTGACACCAAAACAGACAAGCGCCGTCAGCTTGCTTATGATATGCTCGTATGTTTCATTTTTGTTATGGTTGCATAATTCATGTAGGGAATTTAGTGATTGGATACAATTTTTTTTTTTTTTCATTTTTTTCCATTCAGTCAAGATTTATCTCATTGATACTGAAAATGGAACAATTTTTTTTACAAAAACTATTATTTATTTCATGTCATCACATTTTTCTCAATAATTCCATCAACACAATTAAAAAATAAAATGTAATTATAATTATTATTATTTCAGAGGAAAAAAACACTATTTATTCAGTCACATATTTCAAACTAGTAACTAAGAATCTTATCAATCAATCTTTAATTTTCGATCACATCAACTTTTATTATTAATTTTTTATCTTTTATCTATTTACAAATTACAATCTCAAATCTATCTAATTTTTTTCTAAAATTATCATTTTCTACCTTTCCATCAAAAGAATTTTTTTTGACAATTTTTTTATATCCAATTGCAACATTGTGTTTCCTGTGTTTAATAAATCTTGTTAATTTCCCTGACAGGATGGTTGCTCGTTATGCTCCTCCAATTTCATATAATTTTCTGAATCTCATTAGTCTTGGTGATGGCAAGAAGACTATTTTTGAGCAGGTAGAACTATTATATATTTAACATCTTCCAATAAAATCATCCATGTGTTAGTGGTATATTTGTTTTTTGGCACTCCATTATTGTGAAAGGCTTAGTTATATTTATATCCTCGGTTAATGCGACCACAATTCAATTTACATGACTTGTAGTAGTTTGTAATTTGTAACGGCATCTGGGTTCGCACAAGTACTTGCACAATATGTCAGTAGATGAATCCCTTTAAAATTCCAGCGTATATATATAGATATAGAAATTCACTCCCTTCCGCACAAACTAAGAAACCATAATAGATGTACTTGTGATTGTGTATCTTTTTTTTCCCATCGCCCCTTTGTTTTCCTTGCAATGAAGCTAATGTCTATAAAATTTGGTTGTCCTTGCAATGAAGGTAATGTCCGTATAAATTTTAGTATTCCAACTGAATGAACAACTAAAAGCAATGTGAATCAAATAACAAAGAAAACAAATTAAGGGGGTGTATTCGTTTGGGATTTTTGAAGACTTTTTAAGACTTTTAAAAGTCTGGAGGTATTCATTTGAGATTTTAAAAAGTCTTACAAAATCTTAAGGTGTTTAGCTTATTTAAGATTAGGGTTTGTTAGGACTGATTAAGATTTGTTGGGATTTCAAAAGTAAACAAAACATATACAAAATCCCACTCTAAATCACACCTCCAAACTTAGATTTAAAGATTCCTCCTAAATCTGAAAGTCCTAAAAAGTCTCAAATCTCGACAAATCTCAAAATGTCAAAATCACAAACGAATACACTCCCCAAGTATTTTTGGGGTAATACACCCTTGGGATGGATAAAATGGAAAACAATATAAACAAGCCAGATACGTCATGATCTATTTTCTTCGTATTTTTTTTTTTCTTTTTCAAATTTTTCTCTGGTGTGTATGTGTGTGAGAGGGGGAAAGCAAAAAATTTATTTACAGTTTGCAATTTATTTACATGATTAGTAATGCGAATCTGTTCATGTAGAAAATAATTTGGTGCCTATGTTTTTTCTTCTCTGTATTTCCTTCACATGATTTTTGATTTAGTATAAAATATGATTGCAGCGCATGGGAAACATTGATAAAGCTGTACCTTTCTTTGGGGACGGGTTTAACAGCATTTATCCCCTTATCATGGTCATATATACCATCTTGGTGGCAAGCAATTTCTTTGATAGGATCATCAGCTTTTTTGGCAATTGGAAGATTTTTAAGACTGAATCAGATGACATGGATGGGTTCGATCCATCTGGATTGCTTATACTGCAGAAAGGTGTTTAAATTATCTGCATTTCTTTACTACCTTTATTTGGTGTGCCGTTTTAGCTTCATTTAATTTAGGCAAGAGGGATATCATATTCTGTTAATCATGTGTATTTTCACAGAAAGGATGTGGTTGGAACAAGGACACAAAGTTGGTGAGCATGTTATTCCATTGGCTCGAAACTTCAATGATGTGAGCTTGGATCTAGAGTCGGGTGTTAATAGCAACGTATGTTATCTTCCTTACCTTACCGAATTTGCTTCTTTTTTTGTACTTACAAAAGCTACCCTTGACAGACCTAATTACAAGCAAAGTCGGTTAACTTTCACAATTTACGATATTTACTCTAGAGTTTTTTTTTATTCAGTGTTAAAAGTAGAGGGGCTAACTGTATTATTTCATAAAAGTGGGGGTGGGGGGATCTGAAATGACTTCCTTATAAAGGGGTATTTGCAAGAAAACTGAAATCTCGGGTATCTTTTGTAATTTTAAGAGTTCGTTGGGATTTTCTGTAAGCAAGTCGAGTAATGCAGTACTTGTAGTTCTTATTTTCTTTTCTTATCTTTGAGCACGGCATAAACATTCTTGAAATATACAGCGGAACCTATCCGCACCTTCATATTTTTGGGTTAAATCATAAGGCAACCCTAGGTTTAAACTAATTATAAAGAAATCCAGTCATGTTTTAACATTCCGAAGATCCCTTTTCCATTTGTTTTTATTTCCGAAACCCCTTATGAAGGGACGTTTGCGATGCATTTGAACTTTTTTTTTTTCCTGATCGGTACATTTGAACTTTTTTTTAATTATATTTAAAATCAACCACTCCTGAAAATTCTGTTGATCTCATATCCACCCTTTCTTATTAGTCCCAATTTTATTAGGACAAATGTTAATTTCTAATTAATATTCCAGGACACTAGAATCCAGACGAAGATGAAGGAGGACATAAAGGGAAGCTCGTCAAGATATTCTGGGAGCAAAGAAGCCATAAGCAACAAATACACCGCCATAAGAGAACAAAACAAGTCTTCACCACATAACAACAACACAAAACTGACCGACAACATCTCCTCTGCCAAAGTCTCGCTGCTCAAAAGCGGCGAACCCTCAAAAAGCCCCAGCAACAGCAGTAGCAGTAGCAGTGGGGCCCACTCGGCCATGGCCTCGAAATGGGCCTCTATGAAGCAGGGTTTTCAATCTTTAAAAGCAAACATCGAGGCCAAGAGATTTTTACCCCTTCACCAAGTTCAAGAAACACAAATGCTGTCCCGCGTGTCGTCCTCCGAGTCGTTGGACGAGATATTTCAGAGACTGAAACGCCCCTCGCACGATCGTGGCCGTTATAGTGATGGCGAAGATGACGATGATGATTTTGAAATTAAAGCTCCGGGTGAGAGAAGGTAACAACTGGACATGTCCGTTTATTTACTCATGTCATACATATACAAAAGAAGAAAAAAAAAAGAGAATACAAATAATATATGGAAAAAATTAAATTTGAGGAGAGGTTTGAGGAATTGTACAGATACTTGTAAACTCCTCTTGACTAACCCATTTTTTTTGGGGCGGTTTTGTATTGTAAATCGAGAACAAGTGTTCGGTAGAGAACTTAGACAGGAATTGCTAAAGAATGCAACAAAATCGGGTGAAGATATGCGACTCGGTTCCACTCAGGATTGTGTTCGAAAGTTAGGTAATTACATTATTGTACTTTGAACGCCTATCATTAGAAGTTGAGGCTGTGAATGCTGTCTCACTTTCTGAAATGTGAGATAGCACCTGAAATTTAAGCAAAGTTGCTGTGGAATGCTTTAGGACTTATCTCAAATGTGAGATAACACCTGAAATTTAAGAAGACTTTTTAAACTCAGGGAAAAATAGCCAAAGAAATCCCAAAATATTGCATTTGAATCACGTAAAAGCAAGGCACAAACAAACAAACAAAATTTATAAACTCCACAAAAATGCAAACAAATTTGTTGGAAAACACACAAAAGAGCAACAAACAACGCAATAGGAATATAAAAAAACATCGAAACCCCACAACGGAAACTAAATAGACTACTGACCTCAGTGCTATTACCGTACGCCTGGCACGTGGCGTAGGTGTGCCAGGGCAAAAAAAAAAATGAACATGTTACATGTGCAACACATTGTTTCACATGCTTATTTTGTAATGAAACATGTTCTTTTTTTTGTCCTGGCACACCTACGTCAGGGCGCACCTAAATATTTGCGTACTGACCTACGCAAAACCCAGACTGAAAAGCAGCCAGACAAATATAAGCCAATTTCGGTAACCAGAACACAACAACACTAAGAACACAAAGCAACTTGGCTTGTTGAAGGCCACGAAATGTACAATAAAGCTGCAGAGGCAACGACCTGAAATCCGCTACATTAGCAACAAGTCTGATGAATCAAGTTCCGTCGTCATTCACTTATCTCCTCAAGCCTCGTGCATGACATCACAGCACTAAGGCTTCCAGAGGCGAAGCTACACTTGCTAGCTGGGGTCAGCTGACTCCTATAGATTTCAAAATTTTTAGTATAAAAATATTGTTCAAACACTGTTTACTAGGTTAATGACCCCACTAAAAAATATTGCTGACCCCGG